CCCCCCGCGCCACCGCCGCCGCCCCAGCCCCCGCTGCGCCGCCCGCAAACCCGGCCCCGCCGCCCGAAGCGAGCCGCAGCGCGGCGCCCCACCCGCCGCCGCCGGCTGCCGACGCGCCCGCGCGGCCCAGCGCGGCTGCGCCGAGGCGCAGGCTCGCCAGCAGCCCGGGCAGCGCCGGCCGCGACGCACCCCCAGGCGGCGCGCCGGCTCCGTCGGAGCCGACGAGGTGCGATGATCTGAGATCTAGCAGGCGGCGGGCGCCCTGGTGGTATCCGAGGTTGGCCAGGGCCTGGGCTGCCTGCAGGTATAGATCTGACGTGGCGGTGGCCACGGCTGCTGACAGGGCGGCCCGTGGCTGCAGAGAGGGGTCGCAGATTCCGTTTTGGGGCCGGCGGGATGCATTGTGAGAGTTTAGGGCTGAAAGGGTTCCGGTGGAAGGGGCTGCGGGGTGCAGGCGTGCAAGGGACTTGAGGTGGCGGCCCGCAGCCTGGGTTGCAGGGGCGCCTGGGGCACAACCCCCCGCTCACACACACACGTCCACACACCCAGCCCCCAACACCCCCGCTCCCGCTCACCAACCCATCCCCCAACACACCCCACTCACCTACAAACAAGCACACACACGAGCATGCACTCCCGCATGAGCGCATGCTGCCCCCACCTGCTCCTGCATCGCCGTCCCCGGTGTGGCCTGCGCAGCCGCCTCCAGGAGCAGCGCCCTCAGGCCCAGAGACACCATCACCTGGGGTTTCGTGGGTGATTTAGGATTGAGGACTTATGTTTCAGGGTTTAGGGGTTAACGGGCAGGGCTAGTCCCCCGCAGCAAGGGCGTGGAGGGGGTTGGTTAGAGCCGAGGGCAGGTAGGGGCCGCGGGAGAGGGGAGGATGCGCGACATGTGCATTGTGAAGATGGTGGAAGGAGGCTTCGGCAACGAGCGGCTGCTGCGTTGCGCTGCTGGGACAGGTGCTTGGTGCCGGACATCAGGGTTTTCGGTTTAGGGTTTAGGTGAAGTCGAGGTGCATGGTGTTGGTCGCGGGATGAGGGGAGGGACGGCCCCGCGCACGGCGCTGAAGAGGGGACGACGACGTTTGGGTGTGGCTCGACCTGTTCCTTCCATCCCACACCCGAAAGGCCCCCCCGACTGTGGAATGACTCGAAGCCAAGTCCCCTGGGCCCGCGCGGCTCCATGAGTGGTCACCACCCAATCACCAACGTACATACACTAGTCCTGGCCAGCGCGTGCGGGGCACAAAGGAGTGCGCACGACATGCTGTGAGCATTCACCCTCTGTTCCGAAACCACAGGGACCGCGGCACATCCTACTTGTCAGCGGACCCTTTACGCCAAACCCCTGGGAACATTGCGATTCAGCGCCTCGGCGGACCCACCGGTTCGTGGCTGACGAGCTCCAGTGCCGGCCACCGCCGCCGCCACAGACCCATCAGGCGCCGCACCGCCCCCGTGCGCCCCAGGAGGCCGCCGTCATCGGCCCCGCCGCCGCCGCCGCTGCTGCCGGAGGCCGTGATCGATATCGAAACCCGCTCCCGCCGCCGCTTGGCCGGTCGCGTGGCGGCCAGCGATGACGTCACCACTGTCGCCGCCGCCGACGCGGAGACATCTGCCTGCAGAGAAGAGGAGAAGGCCGCCGGCGTCGGCCTCAGCAGCTGGAGGGCCTCTGACAGTTCAGCCAGCGGCTGCAGGGCGCCTAGGGCGGCGCGGCGCCACGCGGGCGCGGCGGAGGCCGCCGCAGACCAGCGGCGGACGAAACACCTTTGGGG